TGATGAGGGTCTCATAGATCAGGACGATTATCAAGAAGAGTTGAATAAAATCTTGAATAAATAATAACATTATCGAATAAAGATATATAAAAAATGATTTATTCCTATTTCAATATCAAAGATTATTGAAAACCTATTAATGATTGGAACTGTGCATTGAAATCGAACATATGAACTCAGTTCCTTGAACTTTTTGTTCAAACTAAAAAAAATGGCTCCACATGAAAGTTTGTTCTCATTACTTCCCTATGAAATATTCCAACATATTTTATCGTTTGGAGCTGATAGCGAATTGAAAAATCCATCAAGTAGAAATTCAGATATCCGAATGGTTGCCAAATTTCAATCAATTAATAAGAAAATTTCGAATATGAAGGAAATGCAAGATTATTTCAATGCCTTTTGGTGGAAAGTATTCGAAAAGAATTTTGGAATTGGTCAATTATTTGGAAATGATTTGGAGAAACTTAGATTACGAATGATTAAACGAGACGAAATGAAGAGGAAAATTTTATTAGCAAGTTATATCAAATTTAAACTTTACAAACGACCAAAATATGATCCGAATGTACAACAACAAGAGGAAGTTAAAATAATAGTGCTTGGGGAAGGAGGAGTGGGTGAGTAATTCTATTATTCGATTCTAATAGAATTTTATTATGGACCTATTTATTTCACACTTACCATAATTATGAAAAAAGGAAAATCTGCAATAACCATTTTCTTTATTCAGCATATTTTTATTACTGAATATGATCCGACAATTGAGGATACATACAGAAAGTATTTTAGGGTTGATGAAGAGCCAGCCATGGTAGAAATTCTCGATACTGCAGGTGAGTTTTTGTAATGTTTGGCAATAATTATGATTAACTAATTTTGATGATAACTATTAGGACCTGAGGAGTTTTCTAGTAAGTAAATTTAATTAGAAACTCGACTAATATTATGTTAGCATGGAGAGGTAAGGGATTTTATTTTGGAATATAATTCAATTAATAATACCTCTTAATAGATCAATATATGAGAGTTGGAGATGCATTTGTAATTGTATGTTCTTCAAGTGATGAAAACTCTGTATCAGATATGCGTAGACACGTAGAGAACATGTTACGTTGCAAAGATGTTGAAGTTAATGATATGCCTGTGGTGTTTGTTTTAAACAAGATGGATTTATTGGTTAGCACAAATAGAAATGAAACAATTGATCGTTTTAGACAAGAAGTAAATTCAATTGTTTCAGATAATTCATTATTGAACTATTCCATTATTGAATGTAGCGCCAAAAATGGAGAAAACATCGATGCCATATTTGAGGAAACTGTTAGAAAGCAAAGACTTGGTGGAATTGATAATCTTACTTTATTGAAAGGATGTATTGAACAAGACATCTCATACATTGAGGAATGTAAAAAGAGGGTACAAGTCAAAAAGAAGAAATGTTCAATAATGTAAAGAATAAAAGTATTTGGAACTAGTTCATAAACCTTTATTTAATATTTTAGATGGCTACGGCCATATCACGATGAATGCACCTCATCCCGTCCGATTTGAGAAGTTAAGCATCGTCGAGCCACATCAGTACTGAGGTTGGAGACAACTTGGGAACCTGTGGTGCTGTAGTCTTTTTGCTTTCGTTATATATAATGGTGAATGCACCAGATTGAATATTGTCCAAGACTTCTTTAAATGGAAAACTAATTTCTGGGAAAAAGATTACGTTAATAGCTTGGAAATTTTCACTTCAGAATTTTTGTCTGCAAATGATTCGGAATCTTTGAGTACTTTGAATATCAACATGTTGGGAGCTGTGATTAATCAGAATTCTGATTGTAAACATGACCATGAACATTCTTGTTGTAATCATGAACATTATCATTAAATTATTCCAAAAAACAGCCGAAAAAAACTTCGTTACAATAAAAGTTCAACTCGAGTCTAATACAAAACTCACCAAAAAAAAATGCCGCCAAAGAGAAAAGCCACCACAAAAAAAGCACCAAAGAAGAACCAAAAATCAGCATCCAATAAATCATCAAGACTCTATGAAAAATTCTTACAAGAGGAAAAGAAAAGAATTGAACAAGTAGATGAACACATGCTCAAGTTTGTTGAATCAACTTGTTATGAAAATTATCAAAAGAATGATGATAAGAAAGTACGAAATTATGATGAATTTTGTGATTTGATGATGGATGTATTGGTAAGAAAGAAGAGAAAATATGAAATGGAACGTGTACCTTCTTTAATCAAATCATTACCACCAGAAGTTGTTGCCTATTCTATTGTTCCATTTATGGATTTGGAAAGTGTATTGAATGGATCAGTGTTTTTGGTTTGTCGTTCTTGGTACGAAGGTATGATTGATGAGGAAAGAATGTGGCAAGAATTGTTTTGTAGATTGTGGGATATGACATTGGAAAGTTTGAAAAATTGGACTAAATGGCCAACACAATACGACAGCAATGATACACATGTAGAAATTAACAGAACTACTCGTTTTACAACAAAACCAACTATATTTAAAAAGAGTGGCAAGGAGATGATTAAAAAGCACTCATATCAATTTATGAAGGAATTTTGTTTGTTAAAACACGCAAGTTTTAACAAACATTCAAGAATTGGACCTGTGAGAGCTTTCTTTTTAACTACCCATCAGGATAATAGTTATGCTGATACTACTCTTATTGCACCATCCCTTTATTCAAGATTTCACATTACATCTGTAGATCGCAAGTTGACCTATATTAGTGTAACTGATGATGGAGATACTGACAATACAATATCAAGTATTCACTTTACATTGGATTATTATACTGCACTCATTCCTTTTTCTATGAGGATTGATGTTGACTATAGTGTTTCCTATAGTGGTGAAGCTCATGAAAAAGGTATTTCTATTTCTGTATCTAGATTACACAGTGACTTGAAAAAACCAAAAAACCAAACTAAACTCATCTTGAAACAAAGTGATGGGAATAGAGAACAAGCTATTTCAACATTTAAGAAAGAATGGATTGGACAAGATTTTGTAAATATTGATGATGATGGTCAATGTTGGTTGTTCAAATTTATTTCAACATTGGGCATTAATTTGTTGGATGAAGCATTGTACCGAATTAATGATTGTTAATTTTCAATAAAGAAAAATGATTCAACACAGACAATTTCTCAATAGCAAAACTGTCCTTCACCGTTCAATCACTCAAGACTGTAGTGGGATTGTCGCCTAGCAGGCTTCCCGTCCTATTATTCTTGACCACTTGCACAAGTCAATAAATATAGCCCGAGTTTAATGTGAATAAAATTTGCTTTCAAAGATTTTCAATATTCTTTATATTTATTGTGTTAAGGAAAAGAATGGCTACGGCCATATCACGATGAATGCACCTCATCCCGTCCGATTTGAGAAGTTAAGCATCGTCGAGCCACATCAGTACTGAGGTTGGAGACAACTTGGGAACCTGTGGTGCTGTAGTCTTTTGCTCTTATTTGGTTTGTTTGCTTACAAGGAATATGATTCCTAAGATGCGTATTTAATCTACTATTTATTACTTTTACATTAGAGAAACAATCCCGATCATTCTTATTAAAAGTGAAATAGATGGATTGTAATTGAATGAACATCTGATCCACAAACACTGAAAATCCAAGTTCGAATGCCTTCCTCACAGCATCGTTCAAACTAACTTTCTTCAAGAAGATAGTGAGAAATCTGTAGTATTGAGTCCAACAATTATTCCAAGAGTATCTCTAATAATTGAAAACCAATCTCCTACTGCATGAAATGTCATCTCATAATTCATTGAAAAACATGGAAGAATATACATGCTCTTATCATATTTTTTGTATCTTTGGATAAGATCTTGTTTCG